TTTCCAAGTCTACATTTACGAATGACATTTCACTCGAAACGTAAATTATCGATTTAGAGCTGCGAATGGTTGAATTTCACGAGAAATGGCACATACCCGACTATGCTTATTGCCTTGAAGACGGTTTTCAATTTCTTCACAAACTCATCGGAGAGCAATATACCCTCCTCAACCCAGAACATAGGGAACAAACATTCTGGGAAGTTCTTCATTAACTTGAATTTTTCGACCTTGTGAAGGAACATGTTAAATTGCAGCCTCTTGCGCGCGAGTAAAGGTGTGGCTGTCATCGGTTCGAAGTCCATGTGAAGTCCGTGCTCTTCCTGCAAGGAAAATGCGTTTACATATTTACAAGTTGTACATTATATACTATTATTTTATATTATAACATATACTATATTATATAATATTTTACATTAATATATATACTATAACATATATATTTATATTAATTATATTAATATATGTATATATAATATTTACATATTATACATTATTATGAAACTGCGAATTTTTATGCATTTCAATATTTCGATAAAGATCGCTTTATTCACTGAAAAGATAGAGTCAGAATAGAAATTTGTTTCTAAGTATTCCGAATGTTTTCTACACGTATTTCAATCACAGAGATTATCAAGTTAGCAAAGTTACTTGCATCGTTGGGATGAAGTCCATCAACCATTTTCAAGTATTTCTCTTCTGATCCAAGTAAATGTGGCAGAGAAGCAATAAAGGGTGCACCCACACATTTAGACAAATCGAAAAGATTTTTCGTCAAACAAGTGTCTGGCGTGGGACAGAAACACTTTTCCATAGGATTCGTACTCATGTCGCCCAAATCAGCTGTATAGTGATACGTGTTGACGCCTGTGAAATAAATTGAAAATAACACAAATATAATAACAGCTAGGATATTGCTATACTGTAATATGTATATTATTTTATTATATTTATATAGTAAATTATAGTATATTATATTATACATAGTAAACTACACATAGTATAGTGTAATATAGTATAATATACTAATTATATAATATAGTATTAAGTATAATAAAATAATGTAATTAGTATAATTATATAGTTATAATACTAATTATATTATATTATTATAACTTAATACTACTACTAAACTATATTATTTTATATAGTAAATTATATTATATTATACTACTATTAAGACTGTGTTATATATTTTATTATACATTTACTATTATATATTGTAAAGCAGAATAGCAGTAAAAACAGTAAGAATTAAAAGATCATTTGATCATCAACACATTATACATGTATTGGAACGTATTCTTCTCATAATAATATGCAAGGAAGAAAAATTGAAGAAACAATCACAAATTTGAAAATGAGCTGGAACAATGATTTGTTGCAAGAAGAAATCGTGAATCGTAGTATTTGTTGCTACCAAATAAACACTAAAGTTATTTCGCGGTGAACGAAAATAGAAAAGAAAACGGCCCGTGTATTCTTATTATTTATAATTGTACGTTATGATTATCCTTATTAGCGTTTCACCTTTGATTTTGGACTTGTGAGAAAACCGTGCACCCAAGCTTCTGCAAATGTCCGGTGAGAACGACACGATATCGTCCTCCTCCGTGAGCAATGGCGCGAAAATGGTCGAATCCGTGCCATTGAACGTGTTGCATTCATCACCGGCCCAAAGATCCAACATTTTCTGTCCGTTGAGTTCGACCACTTTGCCCACGTCTTTGTAATTCTTTATCCCCCGTAACACTCGTATACGGTCGGGAAGAATGGTGCCATTTTTCTGAGACATCAGAGTTAAACTTATAAATAAATAAATAAGAATCACAAATGATTAAATCAACCTGAATATATGGAGGAGTATAATTCAACTTATGCACATATGAACGTGTAATATAATATGTAATATATTATATACAAATGTAATTTCAATTTTAATTAAGTCTATAATACTTTAATTTTCTAAAATTAAAATTAAAATATCTACTAGGCACATATATTTGATGCCATTTTTTTTTTTTTTTT